GAGGGGAGGCCCGATCCGGGCGCCCGGGCCCCGGGCCCCAGGTCCCCGCACGCCGCTACCTTGAACTGCAGCCCCCGGAGGTTGTGCACCAGCTTTGCGTAGCGCCCTCTCTCCTCCATTAGCTCCTTGTGGGTTCCCTTCTCACAGATCTCTCCATCTTCCAACAAAATGACCTCGTCACAGGACTCCAGGAACTGGGGGGGAGGTAAAGCCACTGCAGTGAGCGCCGGCTGCCTGAGAGCAGCCATGTGTCCTCGGCCCTGCTGCCTCCCTGTCCGGCTGAGGACAGCCCAGGGCTGGAGAGGAGACCGTAGCGCCGGTGCCACACCCATGCCGCCGGCGTCCGGTCACCTGCAGCTGGTGCGTCACCAGGACGACCGTCTTGCCGCGGAGCGTCTTCCGGATGCACTCCTCAAAGACGTGCTGCCCCACCCGGGCGTCCACGGCCGACAGCGGGTCGTCCAGCAGGTAGACCTCGCGGTCCGAGTAGACGGCGCGGGCCAGGCTGATCCTCTGTCTCTGCCCCCCCGAGAGGTTGAGGCCCCGCTCCCCGATCTGCGGGCGGGGCAGTGCTCCTGCTTGTCACCACGCCCCAGTCCCCACTTCCCCACAGGGTCCCCGACAGCACCCAGGCGCCGGGGGTGCTGGGAGCCTGTGGGCAGAGGTGACTGGGGCCCTGCCCTTCCCAGCACCGAGTGAGGGGCACCTGGCTCACGCTCCCAGGTGCAGGCCCATCGGGAGGGGCTGTGTCTGGATCGCTCACCCCAAAAGAGCGGAGGGCAGGAAGCTCGGGGAGGGGGACAGGCTCCCCGGAGGGAGGCGTGACTGGGAGCAGAGGGACCAGCTTCCGGGCAGTGTCTGGAGGGGACCTGGTCCTCCTGGGCCCAGAGAGGCAGTGAGGCAGAAAGGGGCCCTCGAGACCAGCCACAGACCAGCACCTGCCCCCCTCCTCAGAGGATGGGGCCACCTCGGGGAAGCGGGCAGCGTGAGGTTGACGTGCTCGGCTGCCAGCGGCAGGGCCCTTGGCTGCCTCTCCAGAGGAGATGGGAAGTGGTCCCAGGGGCGGCCACGCTGGAGCCCACACAGGTGGGGTTGGTGCCACCTCCGCTGTGACATCCCCCAAGCACAGGCCCAGATAAGAGTCCGAGACGGGATACCTGACCTTCCCGCATGTCCTGGCACCATTTTGGCCCCGGGGCATCGGGTGTGGACGGAGCTGGGCTGCCCTTTGGCCCTGGGCAGTCGGGCTGCCCGATGCCGCCGTGGGGCTGAGCCCGCCCCGCTCACCTCGGTCAGGTCCCCGTAAGGCAGGCTGCTCAGGTCCTCCTGGAGGGCGCAGACTCGCACCGTGTGCTGGTACCTGTGGGCATGAGGGTCAGAGGTCAGCGCAGGGAGGAAGACCCGCCACCCAGGCTGCATCGGAGACACAGCTGTGGTCCCTGGGCAAGGGAGGGCGTGGCCAGCGCTTTGTCCTGAATGTCCAAGGGCAGCTGCCCGCGGACCCTGTGCCCTCCTCCAGCTGATAGAGGGGACCGGACGGCCCTTTCCTCAGGGTTCCCACCACGGGGGGGCGCCAGCAGCTGGCACTGCTCCTGGCAGTCAGAGGAGGGGCCTCAAGACTCCGCTCTGCCCTTCGATAGCTTTGACCTTGGGCAGGTCAATGTTCCTCTCTGGGCCCCAGCCTCTTCCTGGGTGAGAGACGGGGATTCGCGGCCAGGATCCCCCTAAATGGGTGGTTCTGGAACTCCTGAGAGACTGGACCGGGCAGCCCCCACCCTCCCACCCCCGACTCGGTGAAGAACCCGGGGAAGCAGAGCTGGGAGGCCGGGGCCCCGGTGTCTGCAGAGTCAGGACTGGAAGGCTGCACTCATTCCCTTCGGCCTCTGTGGGACAACAGCAGCAGCAGGTCCCGTGGCCCGCAGCCAGGTCCCGGCTCAGCGCTGCGTGACTTCAAGCCACGTCGTGGGTCCTTGGCCCCACGCTGAACAGCCTGATGGGCCTTCCTGCGGCCGGACAGCACGTGCGGAGGCGGAGACGGAGCCCGGGAGCCCAGAGCCCATTCCACATGTCCTGGAGCGCCTCCTGGACTTGGGTCAGGGAGGGGACGACCGGCGCCCGCAGCGGAGGGCCCCGGACGCGGCAGCTCCTGCCCTGTGTGAGCGTTACCTCTGGTGGTCGTACTTGGCTCCGAACAGGATGTTCTCCCTCACGCTCCCGTGGAAGATCCACGCCTGCTGGGACACGTAGGCCAGGGTCCCACTGACCGCCACCACCCCCTGCTGCAGCTGCATCTGCAGGCACAGAACCAGGGCCTCAGAGCTGACCCGCCGACCGCTCCTGGGCCCATTGGACGCCTGTGCCCCTTCTCCCGTGAGCTTTAATCCCGAGGGTGCGAGAGGGGGACACTATCTCATCCACGGGCTGCAGAGCCCAACCGTGCAGGCCGAGGGCTTCGACGTCAAACACCTGCAGGGGGCCAGGCAGGAACGTTCTGGAAGAGGCAGCCGAGGGGCCCGCTGCTGGCTGCCAAGCATGTCAGCCTCACGAACATGACCGTTCACTCTGTGCCCAGCTGCCGGGGCCGCTGTCCTCACGGACCCAGCACACAGCAGCAGGGACCCTGACATCGCGGCGTGCCCCCCACACGGCTCACCTGGCCCAGCAGAGCTGCGAGGAGGGAGCTCTTCCCGCTCCCAATGTTCCCGCAGATCCCCAGGACCTTCCCCTGCAGAGAACCAGGAAAGAGACGCTGTTGCACCCCTGTTCTCACCAGGTCTGGGGACAAGGTGTCGCCTCCACACTGTGCAGGTGGGGACCAGGGTGGCTCCAGGTGGTGGCGGTGCAACCTCGGACCCGGCCGAACTCGGCCGGGGAGGATGCAGGGACCCGAGTGTTAGTGAAGCGCCCCCCACCTCGCGCCGTGTGGGGCGCCTGGAGGGCCTGGAGACACCCGCTGCGGGCACTGGTGCGGAGCAGCCTCACGCTGGCCCGGGACACACTCCCTGGACGCGTGGCTTGTCCTGCGCCCAGGCTACAGGAGAGGAAATCTAACCGAGGTGATGCTCGTTGGGGCGGACAGTGAACAGCAGAGTAGGAAAGGTTCGCAGTGTGCGGGGTGCACACCACGGGAACGCGGGACGGGGAGCTGGGGAAGCCTTCCCGGAAAGACACCCGTCTTGGAGGGTCCTCCCGGACACGGCCCCGGCCAGAGACCCGTGTGGAAGCGGGAGGTGCGGGCACCAGCGGGCCCAGGGCACCCGGCCGTTCTGTGAGTCGTGCCACCGCTTGGGGCCATCTCGGTGCCGTTTCCTCCCTGTCCTCGGCAGAGCGCCCCTGAGGCCTGGGCTTCTGATGATTCACTTGTTAAAAATAAAATACAGACTCCGTCTCGCAACCTACAGGCAGGCAGCGCCCCCAGGCCCTGGCTGGGCTCCCATACTGGCTGCGTGTGGGTTGCGCTTTGCTTTTAAGCAGAGCAGCACTGCAGGGCAGCGAAGAGCAGGCCCGGCCAGGCGCCTGGGGGTTAGCTTCCCGTGCCTCAGGCTCCTGACCGTGAGCCGGGTAGCCGTGGTGCCCACCTCGCAGGGTGAGGAGGTGTCAGAGGAGCTGAGTGTGTACCTACTCATGAACGCCGGCCGTTGTGAGCCGCCCGTGCGCCCCATGTCAAATTAAGAGCACGTCTGAGAACGCTTATGGAAGCCCGTCCGTTTGAGCCCGACCACCTGCTGGACGGTGTAGTCCACGTGGACGTGGGCTCCAGGTCCTTCGGGGTTTGCAGATCGGCACTGACATAGCCGCCACTTTCTCTCAGATCAGAGAAGACGACTCCATTGTGCGGGCCCATAGTTTTAACGTTTGGGGAAGTGCCCTGGCCAGTGTGGCTCAGCGGTAAGAGTGTCGGCCTACAGACTGAAGGGTCGCTGGTTCAGTTCCCATCAAGGGCATGTACCTGGGTTGCAGGCTTGATCCCTGGGGTGCGTGCAGGAGGCAACCAATGGATGTGCCTCTCACATCAATGTGTCTCTCTGTCTCTACCCTTCCCTGTGGGGAGCGGCTACAGTGTTTGGACAGGTTCAAGCCTCAGACTAATGAGAGGGCACAGTCCTCCCATTGCCACGTGCAAGTCCCAGCTTGGAGGGCAGGGCCCTCACAGCACAATTACAGCCAATAGCTGTAGTTGTGAGCTTGAACTTATGGTCCAAACACGTGGCCCCACGTGCCTGAGTGATTTGGGCTTGATAGAGTTCAGGTGCGTGCAGTTGAGTAGGATTGAAACCACGAGAATGTTGTAAACATCTTGACCACACCCTTACTTTGCCTTGTGGCACCTGCTATAAAATAAAGACACGGCTTTTAGCCCGTGGCGCTCTCTCTCCATCAGGAGCAGTGTCCCACCCAGACCCAGCTTTCTTCTCTTGTCTGTCTTTTCTAATCCTTCACCGTCCCCTCTCAGGGCCACTGAACCAGGCGGAGCTGGCGGCACATAAGGCACCCTGGGGCTGAGTATGCCATGGCCGTGCCAGCCCACCACACCTCCTTTCCACTCTCTCAAGTCCAATAGAAAAAATATCCTCGGGTGAGGATTAACAAAACAAACCAAGAAACAATAACAACAAAAATTCAGAGAAGAAAGCCGCCTGGTTAGAGACATCCCGCCCCGCCTCCAGCCCAACCTGTACGCCCTGGGGCCTTGCGAAAGCGTGGCTGTGTGGCCCCGAGCGGAGGCTCTGAGGGACGGGCCAGCCTGGAGGCCCAGACCCACCTTCCTCACCACGAAGCTGATGTTGTGCAGGACGGACTTGCCGCCACCGCTCCGGTCCTCGGGGCCCGCGGCGCCCGGGGCCGAGGCACTCGGCCCGTACATCTCCGACCTCTGTTTTGTGAGAAGGAACTTTTCCTGCTCCTCCGCGTTCTTTACGTCGCTTTCCCGGCCGGCCTCTTGCTCCCACGTCAGGGTGGCATTTGCTAAAAGCAAGACAGTGTCTGTGCCGTCTGGTTGGGTGATGTAGGAGGGGGGGCTTCTGGCTACGAGAATTCTCTAAGATCAAAGAAACAGAATTCACTGGGTAGACGCCATCCGTTGGCAGGAATCATCCCAGGACACCTCTAGCCACCTCCAAGCACACAGTCATGATGGTTCTACCCCGGACATCCGGGGAGGGCGACTGAGGCTGCTCCCCCAGGAGGACCTGCGGCTGAAGGGGTCCCCTGGCCCCGACCACGGAGGACGGTGGCTCTTTAACCACCAGGCCTGTGGGGGTCACCCGCACGGGGAGGGCCCCTCCCAGCTGCGTTTTACCCTCGCGCACACGGTAGCAGCTTTTTAAAAATATTTTTTTTTATTGATGTTAGAGAAAAAGGGAGAGGGAGAGAGAGAGGGAGACAGACACGTCAATGACCAGAGGGATGACTGACGTTGTAACAGCTCTGGGGACCTGGCGCCCTGTGACTGGGAGTGAGGGAGACAGTGCGGGGGAAGGCGCTGGTCCCTCCGTCCCTGCGATAGTCCAGACGAGGTGATGAGGCATCGAGTGAAGGTGGGTGGGGGCCCGGGGGCCAGAAGGAGTCAAGAGAGAGCAGTGCCCTCTGGTCTGAGACACCGGTGTCAGCATTAACACAGGTCACGGGACGTTGTCCATTCTTTTGGTCAAAAAGGGATCATTCAACAGTGTGCCTTCTAGGCAGTCTCACACCCGGCGGCTTTTTAAATAGGGGAATACGTGGCCAGGAGATGGGTCAGCAGGGCCCTCGGGGGCAGATGTGGACGGTGAGGGAGAGAGGGATACGGATACAGACACTGAGCGTGCGCAGGTGGCCTCTGGCTGCAGTAAGGCCTCTCCATCCGTTTGCAGATATTGAGCTTGCTGCGCGCCCTCTCTCTCTCTCTCTCTCTCCCTCCCTCTCTCTCTCTCTCTCTCTCTCTTTCTCTCTCTCTCTGGTGCCCTGGCCACCTCTTGGTTCATGGGTCACCGCTCAACCACTAGCCACCCCAACGGGGTGAGCCTGCTGCTCTCTTGACCGGACGCCCTCACCTCAACGTCACAGCCACCGTATCTGCCCTTCCCCTGCGACACAGCCCCGCCCCGTGTACAGCAGGCGCTGGGGGCCTGGTCCTACCCTAGGCCAGTCCAGACTCTCTCCCCTATGTCTGTGCGTTCCCACAATGCCGTGTGTGTGGGAAGCACAGTCAGTATTTGATGAACAAATAAATGAGTGAATAAGGTGGCTGAGTGTTGGGTAAATAGGGTGCCCCATCACCCCAGCACCACACTCCTTGCAGCACAAACCAGACGGGGGGCAGGGGCGGGGGGGGGGCTGTGTGCACACCCAGCCCCGCCCCCGGAACGGCCTCAGGTCCACGGCTTGGACAGGAGCGGGGGCTCAGTGATCGTCTCTCTGTAGAGACTCCATCTCGTTTTCCCTAAAACGGGGGCCACCTAGAAGCGCGGCCCGCGCCCTCCTCCACCCACAGGTGTGCACCCCACCTCCCTGGGGGCCTTCTCCCCAGTGGCTGGGCTCGGCTTCCCTTATCTGGGAGTCTCCCCCCACCCCCCCAGAAAGGAGACCTCTCTCCCCTACTCACCCAGCGTGCGTTATACCTTCATTCTCCTCAGGGAGACGCTGGCTTCGGCCGCTGCCTTGACGGAGAAGGGCAGGATCGCGATGGAGAACTTCATCACGTTGAACATGGCGATCACGCTGAATGCCTGCCAAGCGGGGGGCGGGGGGTTAGTGGGGACCGGGATCAGGACGGGTGTGGCCTTGGCCCGGGACCATGATGTCCCCGGGGCCCGCCTCGCTGTGTGCAGGGGGCGGGGGGAGGGTCTCCGAGGAACAGCTTTTTCCATTTCGTGGCGCAGAGGTCATAGGTCGGCAGATCGGGTAGCATCATCTCAATCTGTTTGCCTTTTGGGTTTTCACCAAAATGGTGGGAGACTTGTCCCTGGCCTCTGCCAGTTCACAGTGGCGGGGCAGGGGAGGGCCGCTCACTGATGCCCTGGGAACTCTCCACCCAAACACAGTCGCACTCGCCCTGACTGTTCCGTCCAGGCCATGCAGGTGTCCCCCCCCACCCC